TTCTGTGAGACATATTATGTGTATGACCTGGAGAAAAACTCTGACTTGTCTGAGCCAGATTACTCAGTCCTGTAGGTAGATGGCTGGTTGTATGTTTTGTTAAATTCAGATTAGCAATTAGCTGATTTCAGATTCTGAAATCTGTGTGCAGCTTCAGCACTACAAATCCAATAGTAGATGCCTCTTGTAACAGAGTTAAGGTTTAAAATTCAATGCAATATGAAAGTAAAATACATTTGCAATAGGAAAATAAAATCTAGTTTAAATTCTTGGTCTAGAAAGCCCTTTAATTTCTTCAATTTTTTCTGTAAGTCCTCATTTTCTATTTACTGCAAATTAAACTTAAGCAGTTTATACAATCTAGCAGAAGTCTTTTAGAGTTTTAAGTGCACCCCATTTACAGTGAGATAACTTGTGCTGACATTTAAAATATTCAATATATCCTCACATAGGTGAATGCTGTACTCATTACTGCTTGTTACATCTGACTGATGAATACTGTATCTACATTTGTCATTCTTTTCCTTCTCAGGATCAGATCTTTATGGAGAATGTTGGTGCTGTAAAGCAACTTTGTAAACTAACCAACAATCTTGAAGTCAGAATAGAAGAACTGGAACAGTGGAATAAGAAACTGGCCAGGCTGAAACGGATGAGCAGTTTAAAGTCAACAATCAGTGGAGAGAGCAAAGTCAGGTACTTTTGTCTGAAGCATTCTGGTAGTTCTCACAGAAATTGGTAAAGTGATCTCTGTGGTAGAAGTGAAAACTGATTTTGCATGACAGTGGAGTTCAAATAATTTCCAGCATTTAAGTTGTGCAAAAAATACAAATTTATCACATTTTTTTAATTTATTGGCAAAATTAATATTTCAAATGCCTCTTAAATTGTGGCCATTTTTGTAATTGCTTCAGTTGCATAAAACAAGGGTAGATTATGTCCATTTACAGCCCTGGAAATTGCTACTAAGAGCAATCTGCAGAGCTTCTTCTGCAAGAAAGAGTCTTCATTAGTGCTTCAATGCAAGCAATAAGCGTTTCCCATTTCTAAACCATTTCCCAGAGTTTTCTTTGAAATCAAATGTAGCATTTAATAGCATTCACCTGAATGAATTAACTGAGGCCTTTGTTCTTGAAAATGAATCTGACGCTTTTGCCTTTCTCTTTTTAAATGTTCACACTGCAGAAGCAAGTGACATTAACACTCTACCAAAAATGTCTCTTTCTCATTTATTAGTTGCTGAAGCATTTGAGTGTTAAAGAGATCTTTTCTTTTACAGCAGGTATAGTCGAGCTACTGGTCTTTTGCCATCAAAAAAATCACTCCCACTAAAATCCCGCAAGGTGAGTGAAATATGAAATATCCCTATGAGAGTTTTTATAAGTGCTGAAATATTGGTGAAAGCTTTCATGTTTTTAAATATATAATCAAATCCCTTAGCCAGAATTTAGTGTCATGCTAGAAGCTTAAAACTGTACTGAACTATAAAATATGTACAAGATACTTCTAATTCTCGCCTATAAATTGTGTGTACAAGAGTAGACCCATGCTGTGTATTGGTGTGAAGGAGGAGACCAACAGGACAGAGTTGTTGAGCTTCTAGGTGTGCTCACATGGTGCAGTGCAGCCTGCAGCCTTTCACAGAAATGCTCCGTTCAGTTTGGAAGGTCTGCACAGTGATAATTCTTCCTTAGCTTTCTTCCACTGTGGTACTGTGATTTGCAGTTGGCATCTCCTGTTTTGTACTGGATAATGCTGTCTTCCAGGTGGTTAAAACCTGCACAGGATGTCGTTGCTATTGCTGAATGACTTCCTCTTGCCCATATCCTTGTATAGAAAGAGGAGACCACTTTTCACAGGGATTGGATGGTTTAAGGAATATAGGTTGACTTTTTCCAAGACAGGCTTCCTAGGATGCTAAGTCCTGTTCTTTAAGCTGAACCAACACTCATTTGCCTACCTTGATTTTGCCAGTGCCAGAGAGAGAATAATAGGTCGGATGTTCTTTATTCCATAATAATAATCAAATGCTCCGTCATCTAAGATCATCCTACTTGCTTGGAAAATGCTTTTCTTACGTATTTACACTAGCCTGGATTTAACATGGTCCAAGCATATACTGAAACCTGCTCATCTTTTAGTTCTGACCACTTCTTACTGAGTTCTTAATTTGATTTTGAAATACTTCAAGTCTATGAAAAATGTCAGGAAGAAAAGAGAAGGAGCTGTTATTTCTGCCCATCTTTTCTTCCTGTGTAATATTTGTGTTCTCAGACTATCAACAGTGGGCAGTGCACTCACAGTTTTAGGGAGCCTTCCATTGCTTAACTTTTTCTCTTTAAATGTTGACTCCTATATAAAGATGTCTTTTATGATTCCTCTGAAACAAGTGAGGTTAACTCAAAGCCAGACTTGTGTAGTATTTGTTAGTCTACTAGTAGTAGCTTAAGCCACTTGAATTAACCAAACATTTTTTTTCTAGGTTTGTTTGTCAAAGACAAAAAGGTCTTGCTCCGAGAAGATTTTCCGGGTGATCATAATAGCTTTGGTTGCTATTATGGTACTATGGTAACAGTTAATTATCAGCCAGTTGACTTGTTTCTTCCTTCCCCTTTCTACTTATCTCATCAGAAGGAAGATTGCAACTTTCTTCTTCTCCTCACCCTTCCTACTCAAAGAACACAATACACTGAAGTTAACAGTGAATATGTCTGGTAATATCGTAAAGTCGAAATTGTTTTAGAAAAGTGAGATACTCATGTGGTGTGCACACACGAGTATCTCACTCTAAGCTCACTAAGCTCTGTCCATGTCACAATGTGTGGTGGATGTTGAATGGATCAGGGCGGCTCATGCTACAAGTGCAAAGCTGGACTCACGATACTCCACGTTTTATGTAGTCGTTCTGTGCAGAAGAACAACTTCTGATGTACAGAGTGATTCTATGTGAAATGGAGCTGGACTTGTTCCCAATGGGGTGGGACATTGGACTTGTGGAAAGGAAAGTATGCTCTGGACATTTGAGATTGCCATTTTCTAAAAACTCATGGCTTACAATCTCTCTGTGAACTGAGTACTTTGAACTGGTGTTGTGATTCTATTTACAATGGAAAACTGACCATATTTTGTGTTGAATACAAGCATATGTATTTATACATATATACAAGCACATGAATACATTACTGTATACAAGTATCAGATCTAAATCCTATTGCATTCAGTTGAAATTTTTTCCATTCAAGGGGAAGTGAGATCGGATAGTTAACTCTTACATTACTACATTTGGACAAGGTACTGTCAAGGTATTATATTATGTTACATAAAAGATTAATGTAAATCTACAGAATAATTCTCTTTCTACAGTGCTTTGACAATATGGACCCTATATTTACTTAGTGTGCATGAGAGACACTTTGAGAAACGTCCAATTTACAGGCAAGTATTTAAAATTACTGTTAGTGAATTAGAATGAATAATGGATTGTGGACCAGTCTGGTTTGGTCCAGAACTCAGATGTCCATTTCTTAATGAATTGTTTTTCTTTTTCTTCCTCAGCACTACCTCAAGTTCTGTTCTACTCTCTCCCTCTACCACTACAACAGGTACTGTATCTCTTCTCTGCTGGTCTGCATACACATAAGTCTTTCAATTTCTGTGCTGCTTTAAAATCCAATAGACACACAGCAGTAGTGAGAATTTTCTTCTTTTTTTTTTTTTTTTTTACTTTAGCATTGCAGGAGGAAAGCACAATTTCTCAGACCACGCAACCCATCAGCAGGATCCCTGAAGTGAATTTTTGTGACATTTTGCTTTGTGACAAGGTCTATTGTTGTCCAATTCATCAACCAAAAGTCAAATTTCTAAGTTATGATAAAACTAATGCAAAAGAGAAACGTAAGTTGAAACATTAATTTCTATTGTTCACCGTTTGAGTAAAGACTATGTGAAAACTGTTGGGGATGGGGCAAGGAACTCTAAAGGTAGTTGGCTTCCTACAAAAAAGCCCAGTCCAGAGGACTGAAAAAATCCTGATATACTTAATAATCATCACTGCAGTCAGTAAGTTTTTGAAAAATCTGTCCTGGTTACCTCTAAGAATTTTGGGTCCTAAGATGTTTTGTCAAGTGTCACTGCTCTTCCTGGCCATTCATAGTAAATGTTCTCATGTGAATCAGTAAGTCACCAATGCCTTTAGTTAACCTTTGGCTACAGTTGGACAGGACTTGACTGGGAGTAGTGGAGTGTGAATTAACAAATGTAAAAAAACCCCAAAACACTTAATGATATTACAGTGTGGTGATACTATTTTTTTATTTTTTTTATTTTTTTTTTTTGTGGGCAGAGACAGAAATTTAACCACCAGAAAACATAAAACTTAGAAACCTTGCCTGAATGAATAGAGTTTTAATTCTAAGTAGTGAAATATCAGTTGAAGGCAGAGCTCTATGAAATAAATTACTTTTACTGTAATTAATTCCTTCAGATGTTGTCTGCCAGATGTTGTGTGCAACATATGAGTAGGTGTATTGTGTACAACTTCCATAATATTTATAAGAAAGAGTTTATACATAAAGGCATGCCCAATTTGTTGGAATCTCTGTTTCTCTTTCCCAGACCTTAACGCTGTCAGTGTCTGGAAGCAAGTGTTAGTGTTACTAAACCCAGCATTCATTTTTTTCCTTTTTTGGCCTTGGGAACAATTCTTTCACCAACCACAGCTGAGAAGTTGAGGTGAAACTGGGAAGAGATGCAGTTCAGCCTCTGAAGGACATGTGCCAGGACAGGCATTGCCAATTGCTGTGACACTGGTATCACATGAACTCTTTCAGTGGGATTCACCCCCTGGACATTCTTTACACCTCAAAGTGCTGTTGTCTGTAGATGAGCTGCATAGACGTGGCCCTTGGGATTAGTGCTGCAGTAAGCCCTGTGGCAGATATACCTCAATACAGTGTTTCCAAGAGGTCATACCTAAGTGAGTTGTATTGCTCTGAAGCCTGAAAGCATATTGTTTAATTAAAAAGACATCAATCTCATTTACAAATGTGGGAACTGTAGATGGATGAAAATTAAATATGAAATCCTTTTATCCCCAGCTGGCTGCTTTTGATATTAGATGAAAAGAGAAGATAAGAATAAACACAAAACCTTACCTTCTCAAGATCTCTTGCTCCAAATAGCATTAAGTGTGGATCCAAGAGTAAAAAATCATCACAGTACACACAGTACTGAAAGATTTCACATCTGCCAAAGTTTAGTGAAGCTGAATATATCCCCACATGGAAGGTAACAATGTCAATATGAAATCCAAACAGAAGGAAAACCAACAAGCTGCTTAATGTGGTGGTAGCCAAGATAAGTGAAAAGGAAAATGTTTTCAGAACAAAAAGCTAAGAGATAAATATGAGGAATAATCAAGATAAACAGTGGATATCTTAGAATCAGATGTTGAGCCTGATCTGTGGAAAGAGAAAATTATTTGAAATTACAGTTGAATTAAATGCTGTTTTAGGTATTAATTTTTAACAGACCTTTTACTGTTCCACCACGCAATACCTGATTTCTGTGGGTGCATGCTTCTACTGAGTGCATCCATTGTAGCTCCTAATCCCTTGCATCTTACATTTGTTGAGGGGAAGAATGCTAGGAGTGTTGTAGTAGAAACAAAAGCATCCATAAGCAAGGCAAAATTTATTAAACAAAAATTCAGTACATCTTTATGTAGTCTAACTGAATGTGGCCTTTTTTCCCTTATATTTTGTCGTAGGAACTGGTTTCTCTGAAGGATTTAGATTTTTGAACTCCTATTTGTATCAGTGGTTTTGAGGAGCATGAATAACCTTCAGCATTTGGGCCTTTTCTGCTCTCTGCTTCCATGGCATTTTCTGCACTGCTTCCCCTTTACTGGTCCTTGTCACTGGTAGCCAGGGACTGTCCTTGCTTTCTCTTAGAGTGTTGTTTCTCCCTGGTGTCTCTTCCCTCACAATAAAAGCTTGGTGAGGGCTCCTGCTGGATTTTGGTCAACTTCATGCCTTTCATTTATTGCCTTCAGATGGTGGTTAACAGATGCATAGGAAGGTATCACTACCAAAAGAAACCACCAGCAAGTTTTTTTCCATACTTCTTATAGAATATTGCAACTCACACGAATTAAAACCAGAAAGTACTTGAGAAACAAACAAACAAGGGACGCCACATTTATTAGATGATTTTATCAGAATCTTATCTGAAGATAAGTTGTCCTCATTACGTCTGATCATGCTCACGCTTGAATGTTTGTTATTGAATTGGATCTTCACCCTACATGGACCTTTAAGAAAGCCCCAAGAGTTACTGTGGTAGT